AGTCCTCCCTAATCCCCCCTGGACTCAATCCTCCCTAATCCCTCCCTGGACTCAGTCCTCCCGTCCTTCAGGCTCAAACAAAACCTGACACCTGGAGAGTTCAAAGACGGAGTGGCCCCTGGGGCATCCCGGCGCTACCTTTCCTCCCTCTCCCTGGCCTGTGCCTGGGGTGCCTGGGGGGCTCTGGGCGGCGAGGGCGCACGGGGGATGCCTTTTGGGGTGCTGGCAGGTGCCTGGGGGTGCCGGGAGATGCCTGGGGGTGCCTGGGGCGCTGCTGGCGGGCTCCGTGCCACCCTGGGCTCCCTGCTCTTCCCTGCGACCAGTGTGCTTGGTGCCGGGAGCCCCCACTCCGCGTGCAGCTAACAGCCGGCCGGGGTCTCTGAGGGCAGCGTCGGCTCTCCGGGGTGCAGACTCCACTTACTTTGCGTCTGTGACGTTTACCCGCACTGGCTTTGAACCCCCTTCTGTCCCGCCCCTGTTTCTGCGCCGCAGAAGCCGGCCGGCGCCTCCCCGGGGTGCCCCGGGCTCCGGCCCTGGCTGTGGCTCGCTGTGGGCCTCCTGCCACCCGCCCTGCTCCCCGGGCGCCCCGAGAAGGACGCGCGCAGCTGGCCTCGGTCCGCCGCTCCGCAGAACCAGGCCGGGGCCGCTCACGCGCGGCCCGGCTGGTCAGGAAACGGCCTTTCCAGGCCCTCCCCAGGACAGAGGGGTGCGCTCTGCGTCGTCTTCCCAGGAGACCCCCTTTTCTTTAAGGGGGTCCCTCAGAAAGTGGGGCTCTGAAGTGGGTTCAGGTCAGGGTTGGGCTCCTCATGGACGCGGTCCCCACGACGGCCCAGCCCACTGCTGAGGGCATGCCGTCGCGGGCCGGCTGACCGCCGCTCAGGCCCGCAAAGACGGGGGTGGCGGCGGGAGTTGGGGCGTCTGAAGAGGGCAGCCCCGCCATGCCGCAGGAAGCCGCAGACCCACAGGGCACCGCGGCCCCCGGGGCGTCTCCACCCCACGCC